CGCAGTACTACATTGGCGACGAAGTCTTATGAATTTACAGTTCAGTTGGCTAGATGTAACCGTAAGTTCTATGCTGTTTCATCTCTCGCACTTCTCTCTTGTGGAACCCTCTTTTCGGATCTATGATTTCCAGTCAAATTTTATCTTCAAAAATATAAATGCAATGTCAATCGTTATCTACTGTTTCTTTGTTCCCGTTCCTTATTAATGTTTTCTATTTTCTAATTATTTCACACCAAATAACCTCCTTATGTCTTAGTGGCTTTACTGCCTTGCTTAGGGTTGACTAGCCTGAAAAAAAAAATCATGTCTTTTTTTTTTCTCATAGTCGCTTACACTAAGTAACCCATTGCGTTTAGTGGCTTTGTTTTCTTGCTTAGATCGAAATAATTATAAATACGAACGCATTAAGTAAGGTAAATCTATTCATAACCGTATTTTTCAGTAGCTGATACGGCTTCAGATTTTATGAAACATCGTCAAAAGGCCACGTTATCTCAGCCTAAGTAATCAGGAGACTTATACATTTCAAAGCCGCGTTGATATTATTAACTCGCTTGCGTGAAATCGATAAACGCTCAGAATCTAACGGGCATTCAGTGATGCGACGCTTAACATATGCGTCCATATTAGCCCGTATAAGACGAACTCACGCAAGTACTCACATAGCGTTATCCGTTGTATCATTAACTTTAAGTAAAGGTCAACGTGGGTCCTTTCCAATGAATTATAATCTTTGTCAGTCACGATAATGGCGTTCTAACAGTCGCATCGACTATTTGTACCTCTAAGCAAATGAGAGCGAATGACTGCTTAGCCTTTCACCGTAGAGATAAAATTCAAGAGCGATAAAAACGTAACTAGGTAATGGAGTGGGGATTTTTTACGTATCTTTGAATAATTATTCTATCTGCAGATGTTGTTATTATGATTATTATATCACCAATTCAGATTATTATTTGTTATATTTGTTGTTTTATATCTGATCGTTCTTTTTTTTTCTTTTTTGAATGATTTAATTTTTAAAATGGGGCATTAACTTAGGTTTCTCGTTGCTCAGAATGTTAATATTAGCCGTTTCCTTATAAGGAAACATTCAGCATTCAACGACCGTGCAGATAAGACAATGATATAGTCAAGAAGGTTGGCTTTCCACATTTCTTCTTCTATGTCCCTTGAAGACTTAGGTGATCATGGCTCTTCACAACTTCCTATCACGTGTAGCTCTTTTTTCCCCTCGGTTCCGCTCTGCATTCCCACGAGCCCGTCTGGTGTGAAGCTCGTTAGCTTTCGATAACTCTCTTCCCCTTCAGTATGCCTCGTGAGGGTTAAGTTTACCAAGCTTTCTTTCCTCGCTATGTTAACAAGGAATTTCAGTTGAGGTTTCATGATTCTGAATATAAGTGTTTCTTTTTCTTAAAATTTTCTTTAAGACTTCGTTGTTGTTTACTCGCTCTGTCCATAGGATTTTCAGTGTTCTTCTGTAGAAGCAGATTTGCCTCTAGTTTTCTGCTCATTCGTGGGTACATTTCCCATCATTCAGTGCCATATAAAACGATAGATACCACCTACCAATCCAACATTCTTATCTTTGTTTCTAACGAAATCTATGAATAATTGAAATTAATTTCGAAATCCATTGAGAGTTACCCATGAAATACAAATATTTTTTTTTACGGAAAGTAAGGACCTACGTCCATCAAATTGTCTTTAAATTAAGTGGTGACAGAAGAATTATCATTGAACTTTTAAAAGGTAAGCTTAAATATTAATGCAATACTTAAATGCAGCGATCATTTTTGAGTTCTTCTATAGTTTATTATTGCCGATCGTATCTACTCCATCGTACTTATTGTGATGAAAGCCCAAATGAAGAACCCTCCATAGGGATCATAATTGATAATATTTCAATAAGCTAATCACCGATAAGAAAACTTGTATCACTAAAACTTGTATCGTTATTATATCCGAAAAATTATTCTAAGGTAAAGATATTTTCTGGCTTTAACTAACCTGCAAACGCTCGATAAAAACAAATCGATCAATCAAAACCGGCAAAAGTGGTAACAATATAATAGACTACGTAGACTGCTTAGCATTTAGAATGGTTCTTTTGTTAATCTACTGTGTGTTTGGATCTCGGTGTTCATGTATTTCATCCTCTATTAAAACACTTCTGTGGTGTGTAACGCAACAATTCAACTGATGATTAGCAGGTAGGCACAAAGAAAACCGGTGTCGCACGTCCAACCTTCTCACGAGCTGAAAGCCCTCTGATCTGAAACAGCAAAAACGAGCCTGCTTTATACAGCTGCGGACCAACCACGATTTGCATGCGAATCACGAGGCAACGAGATTTCGCGTTAACTAACCGAGACCGACCGGCATAAAACGTGGGCGCCGCCATTTTGGTTTTCTTTTTTACCGTTGGAAGGACCAGAGTTTGCATACTGCGCAGATTCGAACGCGTTTCCGAGGTAAGCCATTTTCACAATTTTCCCCACAACTTCACAGATATTTAAACTTCTGCAGCTACTTGCTGTTGACATCTCCGAATTTAGCTTCGTCGATTATTATACTAAACACATAGATGAATTTCGGAACTCGCGCATTCAACTCTCTCTCTGTCTTTCTCTTTCTTATGACTATATATTCAGGTTTGGACATTACAATTTAGTCCTTTCAATCAATTGAGTGTCCACCCAAAGTTGTAAAAAAATATAATTTACTGTAAGGAAATATGATTAAATTCATAGACATTCAAAAAACTCTTAATGTTCTCGAGACAGATAAAACAAAACAACCGCCATTTTATTTTATTTTTCCACTATATATTTTTCATTTCGTTTTTTCAGTGTTCTAAGTATCCTTTCTCTTATAATGTTCTTTAAGACTACCTTTTTGCTTACTCGCTCTGTCCATAGGATTTTCAGTGTTCTAAGTGTCCTTTCTCTTATAATGTTCTTTAAGACTACCTTTTTGCTTACTCGCTCTATCCATAGGATTTTCAGTGTTCTAAGTGTCCTTTCTCTTATAATGTTCTTTAAGACTACCTTTTTGCTTACTCGCTCTGTCCATAGGATTTTCAGTGTTCTTCTCTAGAACCGGATTTGCCTCTAGTTTTCTGCTCATTTGTGGGTACATTTTACATCATTCAGTGTCATATAAGAGGATAGATACCACCCAACAATCCAACACTATTATCTTTATTTCTAACGAAATTTTTTCTAACAGACTGTTTAGCATATAGAATGGTTCTTTAAGCTAGTCCAGTGCGTGTTTGGATCTCGGTGTCGCGTATTCCATTCTCTATTAAAACACTTCCCAGATATTTAAACTTATGCATCTACTTGCTGCTGACATCTCCGAATTTAGCTCCGTCGGTTGTTACACTAAACCCAGAGATGAATTTCGGTACTCGGGCATTCAACTCTCTTTCTTCTGACTATAAATTCTGTTTTGTACATTAAAATTTAATCCTTTCAGGTATAGTATAGAAAGTGCCTTTCATTTAACTTCATATTTTATGTTACTTATACAAAGCAAAAAATTATTACTGTATGAAATCTTCCAAATCGACCTTTATATGTGTTCGTTCCCTTCTGCATAATCACGATTATTGCCCTCCGCAGCTTCCTGCTTCTTGTAACGATACGCAAACTTTTATTTTTTAAATGATTTTCGTATCCAGACCGCCATGTCTTTACATGAAATAGTTAAACAGTAAGCTCGATGTTTCTCTCTTGCTTTTGAAAATGTTAAGTGAGCGACTTGTTCGCCAAGGCTCTTTTTTCACATTTGGCCTCAAACACGTTGTAACTATTTCTTTTTGATTGTAAGTATAGGTGTCTTTTTAGTTACCAGTCTCTTTCAAATTTTCTGTATATTTCCTAATTAATCAAATAGAAAGACAAAGATGCGTCTTCTTACCGGACTCATCCAAACTTTACAGTGAGACAATCCTGGGGGAATTGCTCTGAACAGGAGTCATTATCAAATCTTAGCAGCAGACATGCAGATGACACAGTTTTGATAGCAGACACAGAAACTCGTACAGAAAATAGAAAAGGAAAGTAAGAAGAAAGGACTAATCAACTGCAGGAAGACAGAATATATGGTTGTCATTAAAAGAAACAGCGTAGCATACGAATTATAAATAGCGGAATTAAACAAGTGCAAAATTTACATACCGGGTGTAACAGCAAAATTGTCCAAATAGTGTAGCATGTTAAGTGAGGGTCTTGTTCGCCAAGGCTCACTTTTCACATTTGGCCCCAAACACATTGTAACTATTTCTTTCTGTTTGTAAGTATAGGTGTCTTTTTAGTTACCAGTCTCTTTCAATTTTTCTGTATATTTCCGGATTAATCACATTCTCTCTCCATGTTATTCTAGAAAAAACTTCTGGATGACAGCATGTCAATCATTTCCAATTTCTTTTTTATCTGTATGGTTATTGTCAAGTATTCCCTGTCATACAGGCAGATTGGTATTACGTGGCAGGTTATCACTCTTTTCTTTATATCTACGAAATGTTCCTGTCCTTTAATATTTTGTTATTTTTGGAAGGCGTCTTTTGCTCTTCCATTACGCCGTTAGAATTCTTCGATATACTCTGTCATTTCACGGCATAGTCTCACTGTGGTATTCCAGACTATTTCTTCTGAACCTTAACAAATTATCCAATGCTTCCGCCTTCGGTTCTAACACCCATTCACAAACTCGTGGCTAGCACACTTCCGTTATCAAACCTTTATCCCCGACACAAACATTTATTCTGCATTATGCTTTCAAGGAGTCGAATGAATCCGAGCTGTCTTTTCAGCATTCTAAATGTCCTATATATATATATATATATATATATATAGAGAGAGAGAGAGAGAGATAGATAGATAATGCAAGCAGAAATAAAAATCGTGTCGGTATTAAATAACCCATAGTGATTGATATGCCGTAAAACAAACCAAACCAATATATCTGTATATATTAATTTGGTTTGTTTAGATAGATAGATAGATAGATAGATAGATAGATAGATAGATAAGCAGAAATAAAAATCTTGTCGGCATTAAATAACCCATTGAAGTTGATATGCCTTAAAAGAAACCAGACCAATATATACTTAGATAGAAAGAAAGAAAGATAGAAAGAAAATATAACCAGCAATAAAAATCTTGTCGGCATTAAACAATCCATTGAGGTTGATATGCCTTAAAACAAAACAAATCAATAGATAGATAGATAGATAGATAGATAGATAGATAGATAGAAAATATAAGCAGAAATAAAAAATCTCGTCGGCATTAAATAACCCATTGAGGTGTTGATATCCCGTAAAACCAAACAAACCAAACCAGAACCTACACTGGGAGTTAACCGCCCCCGCTTGAAGAATGGAAAATGAATTCAATAAATACACACAAATAGAAAGGCAAAGATGCGTCTTCTTACCGGACTCATCCAAACTTTACAGTGAGACAATCCTGGGGGAATTGCTCTAAACAGGAGTCATTATCAAATCTTAGCAGCAGAGATGCAGATGACAGAGTTTTGATACAACACACAGAAACTCATACAGAAAATAGAAAAGGAAAGTAAGAAGAAAGGACTAATCAACTGCAGGAAGACAGAATATATGGTTGTCATTAAAAGAAGCAGCGTAACATACGAATTATAAATAGCGGAATTAAACAAGTGCAAAATTTACATATCGGGTGTAACAGCAAAATTGTCCAAATGGTGTAATATTACAAAAACACTAAACTAATTAAGTTCATTTTTTTTAGGTTTTCAGATAAGTTATTTGACAGCATTTATCGCAAGAATCACTGAAAAAAAAAATCTTTGAGTTATTCAGCTAAAAAGAGAACAGGTTAAAATTGTTTTCAGTGGTAAGAGGAAAAAAGAACATTCAGGGCTTCGCTAATGGCACCAACATTCTGGTTTCCATCTTCAAAGTCCATTGCAAGCCCATTAAAAGAACAGAGAATAAGATTAAAAAAGAGGGAACATTCGAGAAGAAAACTGGATCAGGAGGTCAAAACAGAAAGTAGAATCATTATTTCAACCTAGAGCTAAAGAGATTAATTAGAAAAGATCCAACTCAGTTCATAATACATTTGGCACATGAGAGAGGTGCTTCAGATATGACAGTCCTAAGAGCAGTGAAAAAAAAAATTGAAAATGAAATCGTACATGAAACCTATGAGACGACGTGTTACTCCTGGACAGAAAGATAGAAGGTTAGATAGGAGCAAGATCATCTTGAATAAGTTGGAAAATGAACCTGAAATAATATATATATATATATATATATATATATATATATATATATATATATATATATATATATATTTCAAGACTTCATCAGCTACCGATCCATAACTATGATTAATTAATAATAAACATGTCATATTCGTTTATGCTCGATTTTATAACGTCATCACAATACTTCTGCTAAGCTTGAAGAGTAATTAATTAAACGTTCTTATTGCTCATAAGAGAGTACAATAGTGTTATAAAACCCTCGGAGAACTCCAGTAAGATATCTTTAATCATTTTTATGATATAACGTTTCAGAGCTTAATATAACAATTGGACAATTTTCGTGTTACACGATTTGTACAATTTTGCTCTTACACCTGGTACTTAGGATTTTTTTCAAAAGAATATTGAAAATGCGACAGTGTAAATATACCTTCTAAAAGCTAAGCAAAGTAATAAGAAACGGAAAAGAGTACTTATATGGAATATCGGTTCTCCTCTATTTTTTAATCAGCCGAAATCAAGATAGTAATCCGTTGAGACACATGGGGTTACTGATTGTGGAGGAATGAAAAAGAAGAAACATGTCCAAAGAGAGAGAACGAAAGAGGCCGTAGTTGTGACGGGACCTGTCCCGATGGGATAGCAGAAAATAGGAAGTTAATATTGAACAGTAGCATCACAGATTGAGGAGAGATTTGAAGCAATTAGAATGTGGTTCCACAGAAATTTGATGAGGATACCATGGAATAAATAGGCGAATAAGAAAGTTTTACAGGAAATGGAAACAAAAAGGGCACTTACACGTCGTATCAAAAACAGACAATTGAATTTCTAGGGCGCGTTAGAAAAGTCCATATTGGCAGTCAGAGAAACAGGGGAACGCATTTCATAACTTAGCTAATGAGCTTAAGTAGATGGTTGGTAGAAAAGAAATATATAGATCCAGAAAAAAGACAAAATTTGTTATGGTTTAAAATGATTAGCCAAGATCTGAAGAGACATTTACATACAGAAGAAAACCTAGTTTTCTTGTTTGCTGCTACGATAGTGGTACGATCGAAAAATTCTTTGTAAGTTAATTACTCTTTTGATAACTGTACCATTCTTTAGATCAATGTTGTGGTTAAATTTATTTCTATGTATAACTAATGCATTTGACATATATATATATATATATATATATATATATATATATATATATATATATATTTGTATGTGTATGGGTGTGTGGGAAAATATTCTTAGTGTGTATTTGTAGAAGAGAAAAATGATAAAAGAAACAATAGCAAAGTATAAGGCTAAGTAGAGTTTTTCCGCTTGTCTCTTTTTCATTTATATATATATATATATATATATATATATAAATATATATATATGTATATATATATATATATATATATATATATATATATGTATGTATATATACATAGAACATGTATCAACACAAACACATATATATGTAAATATATATATATATGTCAATGTGCATATATATCTACACATATATATTTATATATATATCTTTATCTCTCTATATATATATATATGTATATTTATATACATATATATGTATATCTATCAATATATATATCAATTTATATTTATGTATATCAAATATATATATCTCTCTGTATATATATATATATATATATATATATATATATATATATATATATATATATATATATATATATATATATATGTGTGTGTGTGTGTATGATATAACCGACATAGAAAATATACAGATATATCTATATATACCTGATGTAACAGCAAAATTTTCAAACTCTTTTAATAGCAAATTTGTCTATTTTTAGGCCTTGAACCTCTGTATATCAGAAATGATTAAAGTTATCTTACTCTACTTTGAACAATAACACACACACACACACACACATATATATATATATATATATATATATATATATATATATATATATATATATATAACAGCATGGGATAATTGTTCATCCCACAAAATGTTTAATATCTATAAAAACACTAAACTAAATTTCTTTTTTCGAGTTAAGCCGTTTAGCAATCTTGACACCATATGTCGTAAGAATAACAGAAAAAAAATCCCTTTCGCTCGATAGAGATCCGTTTACCTCCTGGTTCAGTTTTCCTCTCTACTGTTCCCTCTTTTTAAGCTTATTCAGCGTTCACCTGATGGTTCTTTAATGGCCTTTGAAGATGGAAGCTGGACTATGAATGTCGGTGACATTAGTGAAGGCCTGAGTGATCTTTTTCCTCTCACCAATGCTCACTTGGGAAAACATAGTAGGGCCGAGACGAAACGATTTTAACCTGTTCTCTTGGAAATTTTTTCTTACACCCGGTATATATATATATATATATATATATATATATATATATATATATATATATATAATTAGTTTATTACATTGAGAAAATAGAAATAGACAGAAAAGATGACCTTAGAAACATAATAAAAGAACATGAAGAAAAATGGGTTTTGCCCCTCAAACACTTCGTCCAGGCGGGCTTAACTACAAATTTAACAATATAGATCGAATTAATATATAACCCCAAATATCAAGCCCTACTCATATTCCCCACCCACACAATACAGACATGCTTACAGAGGGGCTGAATTCTTACACTTATATACACACGTTCACACAAATATATACGCATCACATACATTCTTAAAGAACTAAAAGATAACATACACTTTACCTATGCATCGTATTTCCAGCAACCAATAAAACTCTCAAAATGACCAAAGTGTGAATCCTTAGTTAGGAATCTGACATACTCTATCTCAAAAACAACTTCAAAGAGGCCGTTTGACCAACACAAGGACTGAGCAAAATTAGCGATAAAAAAAACAAATGAAAACTACAAATGAGGTTGACTTTCTTCAAAAACAGGCATTCACTCCTGTTCATAGCCAGTCCAATCCCTTGCGAGGTTCTTTCATAATGTCTGGGCAATATTGCAAGAGATACGGACACGCTTTCAAAATCGTTTCATTTGGGCTCCACGTGGGCGGTTGCCGATTTCGAGCTCTCTGAAGAATACAATTTTCGAGAGGCGGTGACCCGACGTCCGCACATGTCCAACCCAACGTAGAATGTGTTGCCGGACGATGGTTTCGGTGCTGACGATTTCTGTATGCTGAGGAATTTCGGTGTCGGGGATTTTATCTCTCCAAGCAACGTGCAAGATCTGATGAAGGCAGCGGATATGGAATGTCTCAAATAGTTTTATTTGTCTGCAATACAGGGTCCAGCATTCACATCCGAAGAGCAGTATTGAAACAACAGCAGCTCGATAGACAGCGACATTGATGGTGAGTCGGAGTCGTCCAAAGGAAGCAGAGACAGAGTTTATCCGCCGGAGGATGTCTTCATCAAGGTGTCCATTATCGGATATGACGCTACCGGGGTAGATGAATGGGTTATCAATAGACAAAGAGACGTTGGCAATGTGCAGCCGACATACTGGATCACGTCGTTTCAACGCTGTTTTGTTTGGGTAGATATCAAGACCAAAGTGAGGATAAGCCTGATACAATGAGGTCAGGGACTGTCGTATTGAGAATGCCTCATGAGAAAATATGGCAGCAACGTCAGCATATGGCAGTTCATAGACAGGAATGGCAGAGGTCAGAATCTTAGCTTTGACACGTCAAATATTGAAGACGCATCCGTCAAAACAATATCGTATGCGTATTCCGTCGTTGGGTTTTATATGTAACCGAGACAGAAAAGTCAAAGCAACCAGACAGATGTTGAAGTACACGGGAACAAGAACCCAGCCCTCTTTAACTTCCGTATGCACACTGAACTGTTCTGATGAGGATCCCCCGACGGATACTCCAGCGAGTATATACTCATGAAATTGGTGTAGAAAGCTAAGGTCGGCAGATAGACAAATTTGCCAAGCAAAACACAAAGAGTCCCCCGATTGACCGTATCAAATACTTTTATATTGGTCAACTAAAGCAAATTTAATCTTTCTTCTTTGTTCCCTATTTTTTTTAGTAGTAGACGAGAGACGAATATCATGTCGAGGGTAATACGTTCAGGTCTGAAGCCATATTCAGATTCCGGCAGAATTCGTTCAGTCAGAAAGATGATAAGACAGCGAAGCATAATACACAAGAGAATCTTCCCGGCCACATCTAGTATGGAAATGCCTCTGCTGTTGCCGCAACGATCACTTTCTTCTTGTAAATGCTTATAATATTCGCATGTTTCCAGCGCTTAGGGATCATTCTGCTTGTCCAGCACAGATCAAAAATGCAATGCAGATATGAGGCAAGGTGCGGTCCGCCGTACTTGTACACATCTCTCGGAAGGCCGTTATCACCGGGGAACTTATGGATTTTATTGCGTTGTTAACTTCATCCGATGTCGGAACCGAGTCCAGCTCGGAGAGGCCAGGGAGAGTCGGAAGTTCGTCTGAAGCTGAGGAATCCATCGGCATGTCTCTGTTCAAAAGTTCCTTGAAGAGCTCAGCCCATTGTGCTAGGATTTCTTCTTTTTCATTGAGAAGAGTAGAGACATCAGCGGAACGAACAGGTGCTATGGCATTGCGAGAAGGACTGAAGATACGATTAATGGAATTATAAAACTCTTAAGTTTTGTTCCCATCAGCAAAACGTTGAATTTCTTCAGATTTGCGGAGCGACCAATTGTTTTGAGCTTTCCGAATCTTCTGTTCTGCCTCTGCTTGTAGTCGGCGTCAGTTTTGGACGAGAGTACGAGAGCGTGGATGTGAAAGATGACCGTCATGATTTTTACTTTCAGAAATGGCTGGATAACTACTACGGGTTCATCGAACCAATCTGAGTTCCTTCGCTGAATTTTTCCAAGCCTAGTTTCAGCGGTTTACCGAATAACTAGAATGGCGGAGTCCCATAGACTGTCGATTTCTTGCTGATCAATAACATCGGTGGCTGGTGCTGGAAGTGATTGATGACATTGAGTAAATTTGCTTGAAGTTCTTGACGCTTGTGCAAAACAGGCAAAGTTGAGTGTAGGGTTGGCTTTGGTTTTTCAGGCCGGGGACCGAAGCGAGGGATACATACGCGAGCGAATCATACGATGATCAATGCATCAGTCCGCCCCACGCATGGCGCGAGTTTAAAGGACATCTTTTTGATCGCGTTGACGGACGATTACGTAATCCAACAGGTGCCACGTCCGAGAGCGCAGATGCCTTCGAGAACGCTTGTATTTGGTTGAGTGTTGAAAAATGGTATTGGTAATCACAAGCTGAAAGGCTTAGACGACGGTGTCTGTTAGCATTCATTTTCCCATTACCCTGAGAGCCAATGACTTCCGCCCAGATTGACTTGATGGAGCCCACTCGGACATTAAAATCTTCAAGGAGGATGATTTTGTTTGTCCGAGGTGCCGCTCGCAGGGCTGAGTCGAGAGATTTTTAGAAGGCATCTTTTATCTCTTCATCGGCATCCAGAGTCGTGGCATACGCATGGAAAATAGTTGCATAGACATTATTGGAGAGAGGAATTCTGAAGGTCATTAGTCTTTCGCTTTGCCTAGTTGGAACAGAAGGGAAGTTCCTTAGAAGCGTTGAGCGAACAGCGAGCCCAACACCGTTGACTCGAATTTCTTTGGAAGAAAGATCTTTCCAGAAGTATGTATATACCTCGCTCTTCTCAGTCACAGATCATTCGTCGGGGAATCTTGTTTCGCTGAGTGCAGTGATATCTACATTGTAGCGCTTGAGTTCAGTTGCGATCAGCGCAGTTCTTGGGTGTGGTCTAATATGATCGCGACAGTCTAGTAGGGTTCGTATATTCCAAGTAATAAAAGCAAAAGATTTCAACATTATTTACATTATTCGGACTACTGTCCTCATCTTTGTCGCCATATTTATCATAACGTTTCGGCCGTTGTACGCTCCGGCCTTCTTCAAGTGTTTGGAATTTCGAACTGAAAAACTGCCTATATTTCTGAGATGAGGTATTATGTACATTATTTACATTATTCGGACTACTGTCCTCATCTCTGTCGCCATATTTATCACAACGTTTCGGCCGTTGTACGCTCCGGCCTTCTTCAAGTGGTTGGAATTTCGAACTGAACCCTTTATTTCGCTCACTGAGGTAGACTGTTCTAGTTCCACATGCCATGTTTAATGGATGTCAGTTATCAGTTATCTCCTGTTAATTCCCCTCTGAAAGTTCTCCACTGCCTTAACCGGGTATTGAACTCACACTCTTTGGGTCATGTCACTGGATCTAACCAACGCCTTTATCAACTGTGTCATGTGTCCTTGAGGACACATGGCACAGACTCCAAAAGATTTCAATTTTCTTCGTCGAGCGCGATAAGGTACAACCAACAAGGTACTGTCTCCTGTCCATTTGAGTTGGAACTAGCATCTTTTAGGCCACCCTTTATAGGTCTCTTCTCATGTGAAGCTGGTGTTGCCCCTCCTTGAAAAATGCCCGACTGGTCGCGCAAGTAGAATACGAAATGATTGGTAGTCCCAGAGGAGCAACGAAACCGCCATCTTGCTTACGCCGCTCGCGTGAAGGCTTCGAACTAAGGGCTACCTGAATTTTTCTTATGCCTGCTCTCGTCGCCCGTTGCCGCCGGATTTTTTGAGAGAAAGAAAGAAAAAGGAAAAAAAAAGAAGAAAAAGACAGAGTCCACGCTCAGTATGTTTGATGTGGTGCTAGGATTGCGCAGTTCTAACCACACGCATTTAGGTCCCCGAAAAAAAAAAGGTTTTTAGTGGCAAGGAGAGGACCCGAGACAACCGAGGGTTTGTCCGAGAGTTGCAGTGGGCTGACGAAGTCCAGGTCTGTTTTGGTCCGCCTTGGTGCTTGCCCACAAATGAACAAAGTGTGGCTACCGAAACTCTTCGATGACATTTCTTCCATTAGGGTTCCACTACCATCCTTAGAATCTCTAGGTTAGCCGGGTTTCTTAACCGACGACCAGCGCTCGGCGTCGCTTTGGTAAGATTGGTCTAATCAGGGTTACCACGTGCAAGTTCCAGAGCGCCAACCCCTGTGTGATATAGCCGAATTGGAAAATATACATATATATTTATATCTATACCTAAATATGGAAAATACAAATTTTTGTTCAGTTTTGACCATAGCCGCAGATTATCAGAACTGCATTGAAGGCTTGGTTTGGTTTGGTTTATTTTACGGCATATCAACCTCAATGGGTTATTTAATGCCGACAAACTTTTTATTTCTGACTATATTTTCTTTCCATCTATCTATCTATCTATCTATCTATCTATCTATCTATCTATCTATCTCAATATATATTGGTTTGGTTTAGTTTTTTTTACGGCAAAATTGGTGGTAATATTTTTTTTTTCAAAAATTTATTGCTGGTAATATATTTTTTTCAAAATGTATTGCTAGAAATATTTTTTAAAAAACATCGTTGGTAATATTTTTTTTCAAAAATGTATTGCTGGTAATATTTTTTTCTTTAAAAATTTATTACTGCTAATGATTTTTTAAAGTATTTCTGGTATTAAAACTTATTTTTACACTTTCATAGTGTTTTTAGCCCAGTTTCGAGGTTATCTATTTGCCCATAGCTTGGACCCTAGCCGGTGCTACCACCCCAGGTCAGGGCGGACCTGGGAACATCAGCAATTAAGAGGTGGTTCCACGCTCCTCAAAACCTCCTGATCAGACGCCTTGCTCCTGGACGTAGTTTATCGTCTTACACAGGATGCGCTTTGAAGGCAATTCAACATGAAATTACTGCCAGTTCTATGCATACGGAGTTTAAAATAGAAACACAGAAATCGACAAACAATGAACCCTCCAAGAATGGCTAATGAATGTGCTGATATTGATTGGAACATATCGTAATATATCTGAAACGTCATAGTACTTATAATAGAAAAAGTGTAAGAACACACGTACAAAAAAAATTATAAAATTTTCTTTTGTCCGTAACATTTGATAAAACACAAATAAAACTAGGTTTGCTGCCGAAATATTTAAATGTACGCATTCATGTATACAGGCTGTTTAATCTACAAATAACATCCATTAAAATGGTTTCATCATTAAAGACTTAACTTTGCAACTCGATTCTTACAGTCCGTAACAATTCATACATTTTTAATAAAAGGAAGTCTTTATACACGTGACCTTTCATTAATTTTAAACAAATAATACACTGATCACCCGAGGAAATATATTGTTTCTATGGGCTGAAAATGCTACCCGCTTGGCGTCCCGGCGTCATCGATAATGTAAACAATGATAATCACCGTGGAACAGTTATTGATCTCTTTGCATCGCGCTCAGCTAGCAGGAGAATCGAATCAATTTTCCTCTATAACAAATCGATAGCAATCGACATTTCAGTTTTTCTTATGCATTAGCTTCTTCGAAAAATAATAACAGATTTTAGAACAAACATTCTATGTGTATTCAACCATAACAGTTGCACCAAAATATTGTAATGATTTGTAATGATTAATGTGTCCTCATTAGTAAATTTATATGAATCTGTTTCATTGTTGTTTTTAAATACGTGACGCACCCTTTATATACATTGGAAAATAGAGTTAAATTTTTGGAAAATAATGTCCGATTTTAGAATAAACCTTTTTAATTTTGTTCTAATAAATTATTATAATAGATGCACAAAAATATGTTACTCATTCCTAAAGAATAAAGTGTTCTCGTTAATTTTATATCACTTTGTTTCATCGTCTTCTCTAATATGTGGCGCACCCTGTCTATACACGTTCTGGGTAAGATGTTAGACTACATTCACGTCCTGGGTAAGACTTTAGACTACATCCACGTCCTGGGTAAGACGTTAGATTACATCCACGTCCTGGGTAAGACGTTAGATTACATCCACATCCTGGGTAAGACGTTAGATTACATCCACGTCCTGGGTAAGACGTTAGACTACATCCACGTCCTGGGTAAGACGTTAGACTACATCCAGCAGCAAGGCCTCTGATCAGGAGATTTTGAGGTGCGTGGAACCACCTCTTAAGTGCTGCTGTTCCCAGATCCACCCTCACCCGGGGTGGTAGCCCTTTAGGGTCCCAGCTATGAGCAAATAGTTAACTATTACCAGCAATACTTTTTTGAAAAAAATTATTACCAGCAATACAATTTTGAAGGAAATATATTACCAGAAACAGATTTTTGACAAAAGAAAATATTACCAGCAAAAAAAAAAAGTTGTCAGCATTAAATAACCCATTGAGGTTGATATGCCATAAAACAAAATAAACCAAATCAATCTAAACCAAAGAATACATATTCTATTTAATACGAATCTATCCTAAAAATGCTGTCGGCATTAAATAAACCATTGAGGTTGATATGCCGTTAAACAATATAAACCAAACCAAACCCTGTGTATACACTGGAAAGTAATATTAGCTTGCTCGGAGAATAAGGTTTGGTTTTAGAATAAACATTTTTAATTGTGTTTAATATATTGTTATAATAGTTGCCCCAAAATATAGTAATATGCATTGTCCGGTTTTGATCAACGGTGTAAAATTGAGGAGAGTGTTATATAAACTATCTGGTGCCTTTACGAAAGGCTATCAAAACCAAACGATGACGTCATATTTTATGTTGATGACTTGCTTTGACCAACAGTTTCTTTGAACAGTCAGGTGTTATTTAACTTGAAAGAAGCGATACAGTTATTAACAAAAAGAGTTGAAATTAATGCATACAAGATTTCACAGTTCTAGCATCTCTCCTTCATAATCAATCTATGAAAATTTCAGCCAACCCTCGTAACTGGAAAGAAACAATGCAGTTATTAAGAAGAAGAGCTGAAATGAATGCATACAAGATTTCACAGTTCTAGCATCACTCCTTCATAATCAGTCTATGACCTTTTCAGTCGGTCTTCGTATCTAAATTTAATAAACATTACTGCAAATACCTTGAATTAGAACAAACGAAACTATGCATGTAGTACTGTACGCTAATTTTAGTCAGGGGACGCTCTAAGCAATTCCAGCATAATAACCAATGGACAAAAGTCTCAAATGCATATAGAAATTCAAATATGTATGCATATATGCACAAATTCTAATATATTTGTGAAGCTAATATAAATAAATGAAGAGAATATTTTCATTACCAACGCGTTTCGTCCCTGAGGTACTTTATCAAGGTGAATGTAAAACATTTACCTTGATAAGGTAAACATTTTTCTTTATATATATATATATATATATATATATATATATATATATATATATATATATATATATGTATATACAACTCAGTTAATGTAACATGCCTTAAACAAAGTCAGTACTTTTAACGCAATTACGTTAACTCCCGAAAAAATTATGAAAAATTAAATAATAAATCTACAAACTGAAAATGAACACTTAACCTCAAGCAAATGTAATAGTATTAGAAATAATAACAATAATATTAATAATAATAATTAAAACAACAAATAATTAAGTAATCATCATCAACATCATCATCTCCTTGACTTTTGTATGCGTAGAGCTGATGCCACGCTAACTCTTTTTCACAACTGTCTATTAACGGCAGCTATCAGCAGTTCTTGTACAGTCACACCTCTCCATTGTTTAACATTGTCCAACCAGTTTTAGCGTTGGCGTCCCTCTCCTACGTCCACCTTCAACAGCGCCTTGAATGATGGTCATGCATAGGCTGTCGTGCCTTGTAGTGTGTCCAAACCATTTTTCTCCGTTTGACTGTGGTGAGAAAAGGTTCCTGGTATCTCACAAAATTTTCAACTCTTTTCCGCACAAACTCATTGGTTCTTTGTTCCCAATGGAAAATGCCAAGGAGTTTTCCCATGCCTTTGTTCTCAAACGCTTGGCACCTTCTCTCTCTACCTGCCAACAGTACCAATTCATAAGGAATCAGTAATGTGTAACTATGAGGAATTAACAAGCAACACTTTAAATACACGTTAAGATAATATAATATAACTTGCTACTCGTAATGCACTATTCTCTATCATATATCAATAGTCGAAGTAACACACAACAGACACTGCATTTAAACATAAAACAGACTGTCGCAGCTCGGTGTTGACCTCTGTATTCACTTTAAATTTACATAATTTCTAATTAAACTGTAATTCATTTAAATAATTAAAAGCAATAATAATCCACCCTAACAATATAATATCGCGCGATAAGTAGTAATGTTTAAAAAAACTGGTATTAACCCAAAAAATAACCGCACAAATTGGCCCCTACCGATTGCAGAATACACGAAATTCGGTGTTTTGCAGCAATGCAAGTTATTATATATATTTCTCAATTATATATATATAAGCACACACACACACACACACACATATATATATATATATATATATATATATATATATATATATATATATATATATATATATATATATATAAAAAGAAAGAACAGTAAGATATATAATCCGGTGTTCTTATAGGTATTTTTATTTTTACAAAATAGTGCTCGATGTAAATTTACAGAGCATTAATATTATAAATTAATTGATTTAAAATATGTTTTTTTCCGCTACACAGTTTTAACCATAGCGGAAAAAACCATATTTTAAATCAATTTTAAATAAATTTATAACATGAGGGTCAAGCAGACCAGTTGAAACTGACAGCCCGACACCAGCACATGAGATTTGATTATAGTGGTGAAGGCTTTGTAAAAAAACATCCCCACTTTTTGAAGGGCCGAATACAGAGACTTGGCGCAGTACATGCCACAGCGTCCCCAAACTATCCTCTGTAAGTTTTGAATTCAGAGTTGTCCTTCTCCTAGACTAGTTGCCAACGAAGACTATAGAACTCAATCTGTCCTGCTATTTATCCATAGATGGAGGGAGAAGAAGAGGATTCACACCTTTCCCAAGGGTATTA